CAGGAGACAAAGAGTCTCATTTATCAACATTATGTAGGAGCTGATATTTGTACAACATATATGCCATCTAATGAATATCCCCAAAGAACCAGAAATAAACTGGCTGAGACTGAAAGTACACCCAGTGCTAAGCATTTGTAGGAAATGTCAGACTTTCAGTGCAAAAAAACAAGACAAGGACCATTATGTAAATGTGTAATATAATCATGTAAAACATGACACACAGTGTTTCAGGTGTATGTAAAGTGGCTCTTCTTGCTTTAATATGTTATTTCTGGCCACGTCGTTGCCAGTCTTCTCTCATTTGCTCATCAACTCAAAGAGGACAAGTGGTCTGAATCAGCTGCTCTCTGTCTTTGCCCTTTGTCTGTTGCTGCTGGGTCCCTCTTGGCAATCATCAGCTTGCTTCAAGAGGAAGTCCTTATTTCAAATATATATTTTTTTAAATGTTCTCCTCCACTGCATGCAGATGAAGTCAGTCATATTTTCCATCACTGTGGGCTCTAAAACGACAATTTCTGTGTCAGAAAGACACATTTTGCTTCTCTTCAGCTGAACAATGTCCAGTTAGAGAAATGTCAGTGATATTTAGGAACATTGTGGTATTTGGTTTTTGAAGTCATGGTATTAATTGTAAAATGTCTTTGTTTAAAGACAGTATAGATGAAGTAGGGGAAAACCTGAAGCAATAAGCAATATTTATTTTACTGGTCCATTTCCTTTGACAGAGTATTGGTCAAACTGCTCCTTAAACGCAACCACACTGTATTCCACACTACCCTAACACACACGTACAATGTACACAGTCTGTATATTTAAATACAGACTGACCGCAGATTGCACCGCTGCACGACGTTACAAAAGCGAGGAGTCCAACCCGGACGTGACGTCATGACGCCATGACTGCGTCCTCCCATCTAGTGGCCATTGTCAGGAACTGCAACAACAACTTTACCAACTGAATTTTACATCTTAAGGCTTACTGTAATTACTTTGTTAGAGACACAAGTTAAAAAATATGTTTATGTTGAGTATTATGTACAGTAGTTATTATTTACTTTTCGATGAGTTACATTAAACTGATTCTTAAATTATCCTGCCAACCACAAAATGAGAATCTACATGTCCCACTATTGATAGTGCAGTATACTTTGCAAATATGCATTTAAAAAAAAGTTTCTCTGATGCAATATTGGACAAAATGTACTAATAGTATCTTCTAAACCTATTTTGACACTACTAAAGAAGAAGAAGACAGGGTTAATATTTATCCCTGTGTCATGCCTGTTAGGCAATTTGAACTTTATGCTTCCAAAAGACTCTAACAGTAACTACTTTCCGAATCCTAATTTAAAATATGTGTAACCTTAATATTTAATTTGTGTGTGTCCTCAGTGGTAAACATGATCTGGTAATGAAGCAAAATCTGTCAGGGAGACAAAACTCGGGGCATAACTCAAGCCACCCATCATGTGACTTTGGCGTAAACAGGAAGCAGCTGATCTTCACCTCACTACTGCCTGCTTCCATCAAGTAATGTGTACAACTGTAATCTGAAAAACAAAAAATAAACTGGTAGTCTGAAATTGCTTGAATTCAAGTAACGGATCTACCCTGTCAGGGTAAGTGGACTACTGAGTGTTAACTTAGCTAGCACACCTTGGCTAATGCTATATCTGGACTATTTGTCGTGCTAGCTAACTTAGCATTAGCTTAGATGTTTATCCGGAACGGAGAAAAGAGTTTAAATAAAGTTATTGAACTGTTTATATATTCGTCCGTGTCTAATAAGCTCACGACCGGATACACATGTCTGACTTGTTTGTCGTGTAAACGTTTAAACGTGTCCTTTTGTAGTAATGTCGGCTGTCTGCTTCATGAGAGCTAACGTTCAGTGACAGCTAGGTGAAACTATTTGTGTCTGTTCTGCAGCTGACGGAGAGCAAGAGGAGAGCTGCTGCAGACACTTGACTAAAGTCACCTGACTTGCAGCTCAGAGAAATACTGTACTTCGTGTCTGCTGAGGGGGATGTCAAGCACAGCAATGAAGAAAAAGGTGAAGCAGGAGCTAATCATTGACTCTTCATCAAGTAGTGGTACATGTACTTAAATGCAACATTGAGGTGGTTGTACTTTACTCCAGTACCTTCATTTCATACCTCTGAAGTTTTTAGCATGAGCTGTTTTCCAATGGCTCTAATAATGAATAATCACATCTTGATATGTAGTAGTTGCTATTTTAAGATCTGTCCTAAAATACACATCATTTAGAAGTCAAAAGGATTTTTCAACCAAACCAATCTACATTAAACTTGTACCCACTTATATTCTGCACTTCCAGCAAAAAATATCTTTCCCCCATTCTCTAAATGACTGGTGATTTAACGTCATCACACACATCTTCACAGACCTTTTTAAGGCTGATTCTAAAATTCTTCAGTGTCAGTTTCTTGAAGTTGAATTAATTTAAAATGATGAGATTAAGTGCTTCTCTCTCAAAGTTATATTCCCGGCAGGGTGGAGATCTCATTGAAGCATTTCAGGCCATTGTGCAGTCAGATAATATTGAACAATTTAATTTATAAATGACATGTGAAATACATCTTACAAATCATTTACATGTTTTTTGGTGTCAAAACATTTCTTAGACTATGTTTTGTACAAAACATATAATCAGCTAATAGAATATGAGGCATTGTCAGAAATTAAAATAAGCCCTCTTGACTAGCAACAACATTTACATGTAATTGGACGTTAACGCACCACAAATCATGTAATATAATATAACACTATGGTACTTTTGCTTTTCACATTTCAAGAGCACGATGTTGCTTGTCATATATATGTAAGTTAAAGGACTTTTACATCCTCTGAAGTGTTTTAACATTGCGACACTGCTTACTTTATTTGAGTAAAGAGTCTGATTATTTCTTCCACCGCTGGTCATAAGAGTGGAGGAGAGACGAAGACTTTATCTTCAGCGATGAGTGAATCTGTTGCATTTGTGCTTTCAGGTGTTACTGATGGGAAAAAGTGGTTCTGGAAAGACCAGTATGAGATCAATCATCTTTGCTAATTACATAGCCCGAGACACACGCCGCCTTGGAGCTACAAGTAAGAGTGCTTTAAAAATAAAAGGCGCCACATGATGCCCCATGTTTCTTTATTAATATCATCTATAAAACAATATTTACATCCTTTGTTAAATGTAGTTGACGTGGAGCACTCCCATGTACGGTTTCTTGGCAATCTGGTTCTAAACCTGTGGGACTGTGGAGGGTAAAGTACAAAGTTTGTTATTTGCCATTTTTTGGACCGACTTCTTCAATCTGAGCTCCTCTGTGAAACGTCGCTCTGTGCTTCCTTCACCCAACAGACAGGACACGTTCATGGAGAACTACTTCACCAGTCAGAGGGACAACATTTTTAGAAATGTAGAGGTACTTATTTATATATTCGACGTTGAGAGCCGCGAGCTGGAGAAAGACATGCACTACTACCAGTCGTGCCTGGAGGCCATCCTGCAGAACTCCCCCGACGCCAAAGTGTTCTGCCTCGTTCACAAGATGGATCTGGTGCAGGAAGACCAGAGAGACCTGGTAAGCTTAACAATTGTGATAGTTTGTCTTTTTTATGAATGTTATTTATACCGTTTTAAAGACACATTTCTCTATTTCAAATCCTTAATTTTTCAATGGTTGAGGTAAGATTGAGTTTAACAGCAAATCATCGGCCTTAACATACATCTGTAACACTGGACATAACTTTATGTACTAATACTGCATAGCTTCAACAAAAGTACAAAAATATGGTCCTCTTGTTTATTATCCCCTCCTCCACCCTGGATGTCATATTTGTTATTCATGAATTAATTGACGTGTGACTGTTCATGACTGTTTCAACAGATCTTTAAGGAGCGCGAAGAGGATCTGAAGAGACTGTCCAGACCTCTGGCCTGCACTTGCTTCAGGACGTCAATCTGGGACGAGACCCTGTATAAGGTTGTGAGGCTTGACTGCTTTGTATGTCTGGACGTGTGGTAATAAAGTCGACACAGTAAGAAACATTTCGAAATGTCTTTGCAGGCCTGGTCTAGCATAGTGTACCAGCTCATCC